AGTGCCTCGCTAGTAGTAACAAGTGCCTTGCTAGTAGTAACAAGTGCATCGCTTGTAGTAACAAGAAGCTAGTAAATAGCAACGAAGTAGCCGGACCCGACCGCGCAACACCTCGATTCGACACCGGTGCTTAACTATTGCCGTAAGAACCCCCAGTGGCCCTAGTGTGTCCACACTGTTTGGGGAACAAAGCCACGGTTGCGAACGCTCAGACAACGAGTCGCGAACAAGGCTCTATCCCCAGACCCGCGGAGTTAAACGAGAACCGTTCGCTACGCATTCGGGAGAAAAACAAAGCCACCTACTCAGCAATGCCAAATGAACCAAGCCATCGCTTGTGACCATGTTGAACCTTCAACAAGGGTCCCCTTACGTTTCTTCTCAGAGGCTCAATGCCCAACTTTGCTGTTTCCAGTTTGAGTCATGAGACCAACCTTCGCTGGATGAGGAAGGCCTGGAGGAGGGCCGCGATTCCTGGAGAACAAGCGCGGCGGCTTCACGACGAATGCGAATGACTCTATGACCAGTCGATTTTAAGTTTACGCATCACCACTGTGGAAGCTACGAGTTCGAGTTCTTTGCGTCTGGCTGCACGTTGTCTTTGAGAGAACAAGTGTTTCACATGCAAGTGAACTTAAGTTGTATGGTCACTGCTGCTGTTCTGCTGGTGCAACAGGGTGCTTTCTGGTCGTTTGCCTGTGCTGGCGGCGTCCACTGCTGTACAAGAAAGCTCAAAGCCCGAAGTGTATTGTGCCATTACGACTCCTGTCCTACTTACAAAAGCCCTTCTTCAAGCAAGAACGACGTCTAGAAAGGCGTTAAAAGTCCGTGAAGAGTCTATCAGCCCCACATCTTGGACTTGGTTGTTCTTACCATGGCCTCCTGTCCCTCGTGTTCCCTTCCACTGTTGTTACTAACCCCATCGAAAAACAGCTTCTTCAGGCCTTGGTCTTAGGAATGGCAACTGGCTAAATTGAATCCTTTCTGTTCGCAAGAACACTGCGTCAAAATCACATGCTTCCCTCCATTCCTGGCTGCCCCATACTGGGGTGTATCTTCCAGAACCCCTTTCCTATCCGTACAACGCAAAACCGCATCGATGTTGTGGCTCTCAACCGGAGCGGCCCTCTACAGGAACGCTTCTGCTCTGGTCAATACTCTCCCTTGAGGGTACTCCCTCGCCTGCAACAGTGACAACTGGAAGCACCAGAATGAGCGCCAAACAACCAGTGCTGCATTTTGTCTTTCCAGTTGCATATTTTCTGAGCCCCATTGTGTTGTTCCTGCAGCTAGGTTTCGTCATGGGTGCTCCTCTACTTCTAGGAAACAATTACGCCAGCATAGACCCCAGATAGCAAAAAGACTTTTCCGGCAGCACCAGAAGCAACGGCGCCAGCGCACAGCAGCGGCCCCAAGCGCACACAGGAGCGGCACCCTGCAGCGGCACCAGCACCCAAGCTCCCACGCGCACACAGCAGCGGCACCCTACAGCACCCAGGCTCGAAAGCGCACACATGCATCTCTTCCTATACTTGAAGTAAGAACCCCAATAGCTTGCGCTATCTGGGGAAATATGTCCTGGCTGCGTATATATACAGTGAACAATCGTATGGTACATCCCCCCTTCCAGCAATCTTGAGAGAACTTTTTCTTGCAAGAGTCCTATCCAAACTAAACAGAAAGGTTGCAGGCCATCTGCGAACCTAAAGAACATTGTATATCTTTTGGCCCGCCCTTACTGACTGAGTAGGCACCTGCTCAATTAAGTAAGGGAGTAAGTAAGCTACTAGCTACCAAAGCTTCTAGTGACTCGACGCATGATAGCTCACGCTGGCACTAATTCTGCTTTGAAACAACTGAGTGAAAAGAAGCGCTCCCGAGCAGACGAGGAAGTGATCCAGTGGATGTTGGCCTCGTTGCATGGGAAGACGTGGGGTACAAACCGCATGACTTTTGCTTCAGGCCAGGAATTGTAAAGCACTTAGGGCATTCTCGGAAAGAGAAGTGCTTTGAGGACTCCAGAGCGTATTTGTAAAACCTCAGCCACCGACACTGTACCGAGAATGGGTGCAGTCGGTGATGCAGCAGGCCTGCAGATCTCGTTAAGAGCATCAAGTATTCAATGACTCAATTTTCTGATACCAAAGCAACTCAAGTTCTCTCAAACTTTCCTGCCTGCAGGTCTCGCCTTCAAGCTTTGCACACTGGCTGCACAGCACGTTTCCGTCTGAAACATGTCCCTTCTTTTCCTATCTTGAAGAAATATGAAGAAATGAAAATGTTGGCGCACAAGAAATACTTGCTGTCTGACATTCAGAGAATGCTCGATTCTGGCAGCTAAAGCGCATTTAGGTGTCAAACTTTTCAAGAAAAGGCCAGGTGGTGCTGATAACGCTTCGCCTTGGCTTAAGTCAAATTGCCCTTCTTGTCAGAAAACGACACGTTCAAACAGGTAAGCGAGAGAAGCCAAGAATTCCCGTGGAAGCATCGATTTGTGTAACCGGGTGCTTGACTGGGCCGCTTTTCGGCCTCCAAAGAGTGCATCTCTTGTTAGGTCTTGCAAGCCAATGAGATGCTTTGGTGCTTGGCCTCTGCCCTGTTCTTTGCCGCTAGTAGCATCGCCAATAGAAACAATGAAAAAAATGAAGGAAGACATGAACAAAGGAAGGCAAGGCCTGCTTTATGCAACGGGCCTTACCTTCCTTTTTTTCGTGTCATGTATTTTCTTTTAACACGTCTAACGATGACAGGCCCTCCGTGCGACCCGTTCGTTCTGTTTTGGAAGAAAAATTCAGCAAGTGCACAAAGCAACATGTAAATCCTAGACCCTGCTGCAACTTGCATGCCCCGGGATGAAACATATGTTGACTAAGTGAGTGCAAAGCATATCAGAAGTCATCGTGGTAAGCAAGCCTTTCAAAAAGCAACTGGTAGTGTAAAACCTTGGAAATGTTCTAACTTCAACAAATGGTTTTCGCGTCGTTTATGTTTCGTCCCGCCCGCCTGAAAAGATGTGACCGGCTGCGTGGAAAGCAATGGCCCAGTTGTCGAAGGCTGCACAGGGGGGTTGAATTCACAAAATGGTGCGCATGACAAAACAACTAGAGCTTGTAAGGCTTCTTTGATCAGCGAAAATTGAAACCAAACTCAAACCGATCTCTTTTCAATGTATTCCCTCCCCTATTGCCAATTCTTCTAGCACGCTACAAGAGTGAGAGGGTCTTCCAAGGCTTTAATATGCGAATGTGCAGCCACTCAACGGCCCTGATCTAGTTGGATGACAGATTGAGCCTGGATCAAGTCTGCTTTCTTTGTATGCGCTGTGGAACAAATCTAGGCACATTCAGAGCTTGTGTTGCTGGGCACATTCGTTCTTCGATCACCAGTACTAGTTCAGCCGCCAACACACTGAAGTTCTATAGCTGGACTGACACCCAATAGTTTGGTTCATTTCTTGTCCCACTCCTTTCTGATCACCCTGTTGCTTGACTAAGCAAACAATCTCCTAGCATCTAGCTGCCAGCAACAGTAGTCGTTTCAAATTGCGGGCCATGGGTCTTGCTTGTCATCGCTGCAAACTTGGGGAACTCCGCGGCGAATCGTAGCTTAGTTGAACGATCTGAAACTGATCTTTTGGAGAGGGTGGACAGGCCCTGGCTTGGTTGCACCTTTTCGCAAGCAATTCGTTTGGAATGGGGTCTTGTCTTCTTGCCCACCCAAGCCAAAGTGTGGCTGGGATGATGGACCTGGTAGGATTCTTCATGCCTGATTTCAACCAGCCTGGCAGGCAAATTTGTGTCAACTCGATTGCCGTGAGGGATGGAACGTCTCACCCAGTGCACCAGCGTCGCTGTGTAATCCTTGAATTTGGGGTGCATGAGCAACAACCACACAGCAAAGATCAGCAGAGACGCGAGATACGATTCCAAGGCTGATGCGCAGCGCCCCTCCGAATTGTCCGTGAACATGTTTTCAAACCGGCCACGCCAAAGCCTCTGGAGCATGGCGCCCAGGACCCAAAAGTGCACCCAGGAGCAACCATGGCCACATGCAGACTTTTAGGCCCACACCGAAGGTGTTGAGGGGTAATTGGTTGGGGTGCGAATATTGAGTTCCTGGAGCGCTAAGGGGGGGGCTTTTTGGTTAGGCGTGGAAATGCATCCCTGCACCATGTGTCTGGAAGAGACGCGGTGGTGGAAGAACACATGAAAAAACACAGGGAAATTGGAAGGCTGTTGCACGCCGTATGATCTTGGACAGGACATGAAGTGGTATGCTTGCAGTGACAAAGTATCCAAACTGTTGGAAGGGGTCGCTAGTAACTATGCCTTTCAAGGGCCCGCTAATCCAAATGACGCAACCTGAGAAGCTGCAAAACGAAAGCCAGTGTGATTTTGTCACGAGCGGCGTTTTTTGAAGTATCAGCTTTGGTCAGGAACAGCGATTTTGTCAACTCTGTCGAGTGGCGACTCCTGGCAGTAACACCCTGGGTCCCCGCGCGCGCGCGCCTTGTGGGCGGTAGAGAAGGGCGCGCGCGCGCGCGCGCGGACCCAGGGCAGCGGAAAGGGTCCATGTAAATAGGAAAAGCACTGAGACTCCATCCGACATCGACCTTGCTGTAGCGGATATGGGTCTTTTGGATCCAATGATGCTGGCAACCGATTTTTTTTGCAATTATTCTTATCCTGGGGCCTCTAGGTCCTTCCTTTTGGAAGGTCTCTCTTCAAGAATATGGAGCCAAGGTCTGAAAAGCTGGTTTGTCATGAAAGGGACGTATTCTGACAATCGACCCGTATTTTGAAGTATATCAGCTTTGGTCAGGAAGCGATTTTGTCAACTCTGTCGAGCGGCGACTCCTGGCAATAACACCCTGGGTCCGCGCCTTGTGGGCGCCCACTCGACCGTAGAGGAGGGCGCGCGCGCGCGCGGACCCAGGGCAGCGGAAAGGGTCCTGAGGAGAGATGCGAGGCTCTCGCAAAATCCCAAGTCGAACTTGGACGCGAAGGTGAAGTTCTTGTGGGAGCAGCCGGCTCAACCACCCGGCCACATGTGCTTCGTTCTGGCGGACGGGAGAGTGGAAGGCATTGAAGGCCATTCGGGGGTTGGAGTTGATCGCGTTTCAACAGGGTGGCTTCGGCGGACTGGGGCAAAGCCAACGTCGGTGGCGGCAACCTTCCCATTCCAACTTGCAGAGCGGCGCGGCCGCGAGCTGAAGTAACAAGCAGGGGTTTAGCCAGATGGGCCCCGGACATGATGAGAGATCATTGCAAGTGTTGTCGTGGAGAGAACATCTAGCTCAAGGTCACATACCCTTCCGGAGAGGTTGCGGAGTTTGTCAACGAGCGGCTGCTAGACAGAGACCCCATTCGCCCAAGGATTCCGGAACCATGTGTCTTGGCATTGGATCTGTCAGGTCCTCTCAAACCCGGAAGAGACTTGATGGTGAGGAGAAGAAGTACCTGCTGGTTGGTTCGTACACATGGCCGGTCTACGAGGGTCATGAATGGGAATGAGATGAAATCTTCGAGGGGAAGCGACTGTGGAGGAGGAGGAGGAGGAGGAGGAGGAGGACGCGCAGCTTGCCAACATGGACTTTACAGTCATTGGGAGGAAGATGCTCTTCAATCAGTCGTTCTTGGAGGAGAACTTGTGGCTACTTCGAGAAGAGGGCCACCGAGACGGAACACCGGTATGTGGATGGGTGGATCGCCCATAGCCTGGAAGTCATCCAGGCAGCCATTTCCGGCTCTGAGCAATGGTGAAGCAGAGCTCATAGAAGTCATCGAATCAGTCATCTTGGGAGACAGCGTCAATTGTATGATTGAAGAGATGGTGGGCAGTGTTCACAAGACCCTTAAGTGCGACAACACGGCGGCCATTGCTTTGGGAAGCTCTGCCACTGGCGCTTGGAGAACTCGTCACTTGAAGGTGAGGGCTGCACATCTTCGATGGAAGCTTGAAGCTGGTGTTTGGGACCTCCAATTTCAACCTGGGAAGGGCTTGGTGGCGGACCTTGGAACCAAAGTGCTAGCTCCGACCAGGATGCAGAACTTGATGAGGATGATGGGAATGGGATGGCAGCCAAAAGGGGGCGACATGCAGGAAGACAAACCAGAGGAAAACTTGCCCGTGGTTGAACGTTTGTGGCTTGAGAAAGATGTCAAGAAGGTCACACAGCTGGTTACTGTCATCGCCACGCTCCAGAAGGTCCAAGGTGCATTGGCCGTGGAGAATGCAACGGAGGTCGGGAATGAGGACAGTGAATGTGGGCAGATCCTCTATATCTTCGGAGCCATCATGGTGATCCTTCGGAGCAGTCAGCCGGAAGTTGCTGTGAGGTCACTTCGAATGCAGAGGGGCTCCATCCACGCAGAGACCTACGGCATCCATGGAGAATCGGTCATTGTCGAGCTCTTCGAGTGGAGAATTGGATGTGGGGTCCACTCTACGCCTACCACAAGAGGTGGGAACTACAGCATTGACGAGGTCTACGGCATCATCTACGGGGGAACGCACTATGGCTTCAACGTCGACGATGACAACTACAAGGTCGAGTGGAGCTGCCCAACGTGGTTCGAGCAGGCGAACCTCTACAGATGATCCGGCCCAATCGACCATCAGTGGAAGTGGCCAACATCGACGAGGCAATGGTGCGGTGGCTCAGCAAGAGCCATAAGAGCCGCCGAATGATGCAGATGCTCCACTATGAGATGGATGGGTGGTCTGATTGTTGAAAGGGCATGGGAAGCGTGGTTTGCTGAGTCCAGCCAATGCTTTCATCTGCAGGAAGACTGTCGAGGGCTGAGGAATGCTAATCGGACTCAGTGCAAGCCGGTCTGTGGAGCATGTCAACACGCCACACAGAACCAGACGCCCTATGCTGCCACTCACTTCTTGTTTGAAGACCAGGTGGGCAATCTACACACAGATGCCACCTGTGGTGCGGTGACCGGCGCAATGCTGGAGATCCGGGAGTGCAAGATTTGCAAGCTCCGCTGAGCACCTTCGAAACAGCTTGGGCCTGACGGCTCACCTTTTTGTAAAAACAGGTCTCCGTTGAAAAGAATCCGGAGACCTGGGAGGAGTGCAAGTCGCAAGAATGACACGCACAAAACGAGAAGCACACCGAAGCCGTTTCATTCTTGGAAAAAGAGGTGCGAGCAAATAGTAGTTAATTCTCAGTCAATTCTAATTAAATGTTATTACAAGTCTATCCGGGCTCCAAGTTAAACAATTCTAAATCACGTCTAGTTTAACTGGAATTTGATTGGATTGAATTACAATCAACTTCTCATTGTTCTTAAGTGAATTCAAATTTATGTCGAATTCAGTTCTAGTTTAAGTATTCTATAAGTTGTGTATATCTATTGTTCAACCCAAAGTTAAATTGAATGCATAAAAAATAAAACTTCAACTCTTCAACTTTAATTCTAAGTTAAGTCTTGTGAACTCTAATATATATATATATATGTGTGTGCTTAATTGTTTAATGTGAATCCAACTGAATGTTAATTAAATTTTAGTTGTGTTTGGGTTTGCGTATATCTATTTTTGTCTAATTCAAGTCTAATTCAATTATTGGACTCTCTTTACTTTACATATGTCTAGTTCAATTATTCAATTTTGACTTAATTATGTTAGCTTTTTTAATTCTAGTTTATATAACTCTAGTTTATTTCATCTTTTTTTCTATTGCTCTAGTATATTTCATATGTTTTATTCTATTGTAGTTCGAACTTGCATTTAATTGAATGCGAATTTATTTTTATTTTGAGACTGCAATTTACTTTTACCTTAATTCTAATTTGAGTCCAAGTTATCTCTAATTTGATTCTAGTTTGCGTCTGCAATTCAATTCTAATTAAGTTCTAATTAAATGTAAATTCAATTCGAGTTTAGTTGCTCGTTAAGTCCTTTTCAATGTTAACTCGAGTCTTGAATTAATTGAATTCTAATCGAGCTCTAAGTTAAACAGTTCTAATTTGACTATAGTTTAGTTCAAGTATATTTACATAATGCAATGTTGATTCAATCTTAAATGAGTTCCAATTCAAATCTAATTTAACTCTAGTTTAATTCCAGTTTAAATTTGATTTATGTCTAGCTTCAAGTTAATTCGATTCTAAATCAATGCAACTGTACTTCTAATTCATTGCAAATTGCATTCTAATTCAATCTGATTTCATTCTAGAGAGCGGGTGTTGCTGGGTGTGCGTTTTTAAGAGAACAAATGCTTATATATTGAACTTGTATAAAAGCTTTCATTTTAAAGGCCACACGCACTCTCTAAAAGTAAATTAGAAGTTCACAAAAACTTGGATTTTAAAAATAGAACTATATTAATGTTAAATCTGAATTCGTAAACACCGAACCTTATGGATTTAAGACATTTTTTGGCACATAGTTGAATGAACAAAATGTGCTTGCCAGCTGCAAATAGAGCAGCACCTTGCAAAATCACAACTTTCATAATCCCATCAACGTCATATCATCTGCAAAAAAACACAACCTCGTAAAATCACAACTTTCATAATCCCACCCCCAATGACTGTCCGCTCTCTTTTGGAAACTGGCAGTTTCTGGAAAGCACATGCTAATGCCTGGCAATCTATGACTTGTTCAAGATGTCTCTACATCCCTGCCGTCCCTACCTTCAAAGAAAGGATATCGATCACATTGTCAGGGTTGGTGCAATCGAACGCACGAATATCTGGTGTTGCTGTTGATGCACAATCCATGTTACCTTGAATCGACTACGCCACACTGAGAGCACAGTAGTTGTGGACGTGGTCAAAGGATGCCACCGGCCAAACCGCACAAAGCTGTGGAAAACAATGATGAAAACACTGCATGGGTCGAAGTTTGTCTTGAAAATGCGTGATGAAAGTTGATCCACCATCGAAAAGAACCCGTGTATCCGGCATGTATTGCTGTCCGGGCGCAAAGCCACGGCTCAGCTGCCCCAAAAAGCACCCAGCCCAGAATGAGTAGGAGCATGGGGAAATCCTTAAAGTGTTGTGAACAACATCGACGTCAAACGGGTTAGGCACAAAGGTGGCAGCTATTACAAGTACGCATGCATAAAATGTTGCTAGTAACATCTTGCATCTAAGAGTTGGATTTGACTAGAGGGCCAAAGCAGAAGGAAAGTTTGGTCTGGCCTCTTGCAACTGAAGGTTCTTCGTCGCCAGCTGCGCCTGCCTGGCAGCACAAAAACACACAACAACACCACATTTCACAGTGCAAGAGTCTAAGGCGATCCGAAATCATATGTTGAACCTTGTGCGCTTATGTAAACGCTTTCCAGCTGCTCTGCTCATTGAAGTATGTCTGCTTGACTTCTGTTCTGCGTGTTGAGGGGCACGTCTTTAAGTATTGTTGTTGAAGACCAGGAGCGACATTCGGCATAAGACATGCGATCGGCACACAGTCACGAGTTTTCCCGTCAGGTCCTCAACTTTGGCCTTCTGTGCTGCTGCCTGGCGAGGCTCGCAATGTCTTGAAACAAAAGAACGGCTTTGCAGAAAAAGTAGAAAAACAAATCCTTTTGGAACCGAAAACAGAAATCAACAACACTGCCTCAGCGGCTTCTGCCTTGGCTTCCTGGAAACGAAATGATGTAGACTCAATCATGAGACAC